GTTTAAGAAAAAATAAAATCAGATTAACTATTAACTAAACTTTTCTGAAAATACCAGTGTCACTTAATGCATACAACCTCCCACTCTTGCAGTTGAATTTTTAATGCACTTTAAAATTTACATAGCTAACCATACTACAATAAACTGCTTCTGGCATAAAGAGATTATTCAATTGCGTATAAAGATTCGTGTTTTAATTCATTTCAAGTTTCACTTCAGCCTCCAGACATGAGTAATTAACGTTAAGAAAAGATGCCAAAAACATTAAAAATTGCTCCAAAAGACCATGCCACCGAGTTCAGAAAGGACAAATTTCTCGTTGATAGTAACATGCTGTTCTCTATGGTATGCTGCAAGGTTGTAGGCTATATTCAAAGGCACACAATCGCAAAACACATCAAAAGCACTAAATATAAACTGAATGAAAAGAAACAAAAACATGAAGCTGATACAGCAGAGACATCAACAACAGTAAAGATACTGCACTGTGACTGGATTACTTTCTGAACATTATTTTGTTAGAACTGATGACACTTGTAGGCCTCAAAACTTGCTTAAATTTGTAAATTGTATTATATCAATATTTATATATTTAGTGACTAGGGAAACTGCTGCTCAACATTTTATTTTAATCATGGAAAAATACTGATTTTTATGCTATTTTAATCAGAAAATTTTGTTTTGTTTTTGTTTTGTTTTTAATCACAGGAAACTAGGATCCCTGGTTATTATAAAATTGCAGCTGCTTATTAAACCAAGATCCAGAACAGGCAAAGGAAAGGAATCCTATAGGTGTGTTAGCATTAAAGAGCCCTGAGAGTTTGGTGAGGATTCTACTGGGAAGTCTCCACACAAATTTGCTGCAAAGTCACAACATTGGCTATTAAGTCACATCATTTGTTATTCCAGCATGAGTCAGTTTGGGTACGTCTAGACTGGTGGGTTTTTCCGGGATACCTCAGGTATCCCGGAAAAACTCTGCCATGTCCAAGGAATACGTTTGTTCTTCTGCTTTATTTTGAGGAAGAGTAAACATGCTTTTTTGGGGAGCCCTGTATACCTTGTTCTATGAGGAATAAGGGCTCCTCCGAAAGAGGAGGCTTTTCTGCCATTTGGCCCAGTCAACTGTGGAGCGCAATTTGCGTAGCTTTTTCCGAAAAAAGGGTATAGTATAGACCTAGCCTTTGAGGATATAATTATTTAGGAATTAAAATGTCCTTCTTCAATTTACCAACTGAAAATTAAAATAATATCCTTGTATTTCAAAATAAATATGTTCTCACATTGATTAACAGGTGTGAATTAAATCTGATGTCTCTTTCTGGTGCATGTTTATGTGTAGACGAGGCCTGCCACTAAAATAGCAGAGGGTGCAGTAGGTTAAAGTTGTATGGGCTGAAACTGAAATGCATTAGTTTACACCCAGCCTGCCTAAATGACAGAGGACAGGCAGACTAGACCCTTGACACCACTGACCACGCTACTGTCATTTCCCACTTTAGGATGGGCCAGCCATAGTTGTAGCTCACCTTGTACTAAGTCTGAGGGGGTAGCCGTGTTAGCCTGTATCTGTACAAACAGCAAGGAGTCCTGTGGCACAAGCATATGCCCAAATAAATCTGTTAGTCACTAAAAGGTGCCACTGGACTCCTGCTTTTTTCTCCTTGTACTATTAGAGCTAAGGCACACCGAGCTACGGATCCTCAGTAACAGCAAATTCATACAAACTGTCCCCAGCCTATTGCTGCTACAATACCAGGTATGCACTGCTCACTCCAACACCAGGATTTTCAACAGTAGAAGCCTAAAGTGAGGCTCATAGACTCATAGACTTTAAGGTCAGAAGGGACCATTATGATCATCTAGTCTGACCTCCTGCACAGTGCAGGCCACAGAATCTCATCCATCCCTCTTAGAATAATTCTCTCACCTATGTCTCAGATATTGAAGCCTTCAAATACTTTGAAGGCCCCAAGATGAAGAGAATCCTCCAGCTGTGATGTGCGCCCCATGCTACAGAGGAAGGCGAAAAACCTCCAGGGTCTCTTCCAATCTACCCTGGAGGAAAATTCCTTCCCGACCCCAAATATGGTGATCAGCTAAACCCTGAGCATGTGGGCAAGACTCATCAGCCAGACACCCAGAAAGTTCTCTATAGTAATTCCTATCATCCCTCCATTGACCTATTTCCCACTGATAATAAATGGTCAATTAGTCACCAAGATCATGTTCTCAAACCATCCCCTTATCATAGAACTGGAAGAGACATCAGAAGGTCATCAAGTCCAGCCCCCTGCTCTAGGCAGGACCAATCCCATCTAAATCAACCCAGCCAGGGCTTTGTCAAGCCGGGACTTAAACACCTCTAGGGATGGAGACTCCACTACTTCCCTAGGTAACCCATTCCAGTGCTTCACTACCCTCCTAGTGAAATAGTTTTTCCTAATATCCAACCTGGACCTTTCCCACTGTAACTTGAGACCATTGCTCCTTGTTCTGCCATCTGTCACTACTGCGAACAGCCTCT